TTGAAGAGTTATTAGTATGTGTGGATTAAAACCATCTTGAGAGAGGACGAGAGACTACATAAGTTGATGACAAAAGTAACTGCTACTTTGTGTAGAATGAAACCAACATTGAGAAGGGATGAGAGACTACATTAGTAGGCAACAAGAGGAACTATTACTATATGTAGAAAATAACTACGCCTTTAAAGAGATTAAAGGACTACATAAATAGATAACATGAGGAACCATTACTGTGTATAGAATATAACCCGCATGTGGAGAGGTTGAGGGACTAAGTAGATTACATGAGGAACCAATATTGTGTGTAGAATAAACCCACTTTGAGAGAGGACGAAGGACTATAAAAGTAGATAACATGAGGGATCAGGAAAAATTCCTGAACTATGCCCGACTTCTTAGAGCCCAAAGAGAAGCTCAGGATAACTTACTAGGTTAAGGATGCAATGAGAGCATACAAGTAGGTTGTTTACTAAGTACTTTTATACTCATGCTTTCCCTTTTCTGTGTTCGGTGATCACATGTTACCAATCGATGTGGTTTATGATTTCTGAATTTTGTGTATTAGGTGATTGATAGAAATATCTTCCTAATAAATATTTTCATACTTTAGGTGATCGATAGGAATATCTCCATGGCAAAACATGCATGAGTGAACCAAGTTAAGAATAGGATGCTAGAACTAGGGCAATTTGCGCATTGACCGAGGTCAATACATTTTCTTTAGACTGAGCACCCTAGGATCGTGAGCAGCGATTAGAGGACTAGACTTGAGGACTGGTTTAACCCCTATCAGCTAACCCTGAGCGACTTAGAAATGCGAGATGAAATCTAACCACCTATAAGCCTTAAGAACCTAGTAAATCTCCACGACACTCAAAGAAAAATTTATGATAACTTATGAGGCCGCTAGCCGTGTGAACAAATCTATTTGAGGAGTCACTATTGTGTATAAATGAAACTCACCTTGGAACGAGGGACTACATTAATAGTTGACTTGAAGAGTCACTATTGTATGTAGATTAAACATATCTTGAGACGGGACGAGAGACTCAATAAGTAGATGACATAAGTAACTGCTATTGTGTGTAAAACAAAACTCACCTTAAGAGAAAACGAGGAACTACATAAGTAGGCAACACAAGGAACTACTACCGTGTGTAGAATATAACCCACTTTAAGAAAGGTCGAGGGACTACATAAGTGGATAACATGAAGAACCACTACTGCGTGCTGAATATAACCCGTCTTGAGAGATCGAGGGGCAACATAAGTAGATTACATGAGGAACTACTATTGTATGTAGAATAAGGCCACCTTAAAAGGAAACGAGGGACTCCATAAATAGATAACATGAGGTGTAACGACCCGAAATTTTGTACTTAATTTAAGGTCGTCACTGTATAAGTATCATGAATATTGAATGCAAAAATACTTTACATCACCTTAATCTTAAAACACAAACATGGACTTGCGTGTTTTGAAATCACCTTTAAAACGACACAATAAAAGACTAAAATAAAATAAATAGACGTTTAACTTAAAGCATCCTATTCTAGCCTAAGTCTAAAAATAAATAAATGTGACTACCCTATGCATGTGTCATGGTCTCAAATTGCGATTTCATCGTCAACCGTAGCACGTGGCTTGAGTATTTAAAGAAATACTCAATAAGTGACCCCACTATTGGGGGTTAAATGCAAGAACATTCGAATGCAATGATGAGACCTATCATATCAGTCTATTTTCCTATGGCACTATCCTAACGGCAGCTTGGATGTGTATCATATACTCTACACACAGCCCATACGTGCGAGTATAGACTCACCAGTCAGTTCGCACACCGCTGGGCCCCTTTCCTTGTCGGACGAGCATGCTCTGGTAGCTCTTTGTGCTGGACACCCGTTAGAATTAGTAACTGTCACAGCAGCATTATGTAAAACATAATGATAGTTCTCCTGCCTATTGGTGTACGCGTCCATATTATGGTGAAGGAATAGGGGTATCTCCCATGCATGAACACATAATAATGCATGAGGTCCCAATATTTTTTCGTTTTCATTATTATTTAATACAACCCCGCTAGCATTTCATACATATCATATCGTTTTTCATACCATTTCACATATCGTTTATCATATCATTTATCATATCTTTCATGCATACGCTGGAGTTGTATTTCATGCTAGTTCGTCGTTTTGCATGTCAATCATATCATATCATTCAAATTACATAAATGTATCATATCATAACGTTCCATGCTTCCACATAACAATTTTCATCATATTCATATCATACCGTAATATAACGCATCACGGTATATCATATCATAAACATGTCAATTTATCACATACTTCGTACCATAACATATTTCATATCATATCACAAAATATAAATATATATATATATATATATAACTTCATCATTCACATGTCGTATCATAATCATATCATATCGTAAAAACTTCGTGCTCATATCATTCCCTAACTTATCATAGCCTTAACATTCTTATACATATCACAGGATAAAAAAATACGGTTAGGTTATGGGTAGGGTCCTTAGCTCCTTCAACTCCCATTTTAGCGGTTCATGATCCATCCTACCCAAACATCCATTCTAATCCTTCTATTCCTTCGTCGTCTCCTCCGCCTTCTATTCCTTCTCCAAATTCATCCGTTCCAGATTCACCAGATTCACCCATTAAATCTAATCTTATCCCACCTGATACATCAGTTCCACTCTGACATTCTACTCTTACCAAACAACCTCCAGCTTATTATAATGATTATGAGATGTCTTCTGGAGCCAATCATTTAACCTCTAGCTCAAGTCCCAACACTCACCAGGTATCTCCTTCATCATTACCTTTCATTCACTCGTTTTTTTCCTACTCAATGTGCTTTTCTAGCTCTTATTACAGCCCAGACAGAACCTAAAACCTATGATGAGGCAGTTGGCAACCCATTATGGCAGTAGGCTATGAATGATGAAATTGCAGCTTTGGAATGTAATCAATACTTGGTCACTCGTTCCTCTACCACCTTGCCATAAAGCTATTGGTTGTCGTTGGGTGTACAAGATTAAACACAACTCTTGGTTCTATTGAACGTTATAAAGCTCGACTGGTAGCAAAGGGATACATTCAAGTTGAAGGTGTTGATTACAAAGAGATTTTCTCCTATAGCGAAATTTACTACACTTCGTTGCTTACTCACTATTGTCGCTGCTCGAAAATGGTTCACTCATCAGTTGGATGTTCAAAATGCCTTTCTCCATAGTAATCTAGACGAGGAAGTCTATATGTCTTTACCACTAGGTATTTGCCGACAGGGGAAGAATATAGTATGCCGGCTTCATAAATCTGTTTATGGTTTAAAACAGGCTTCTCGCAATTGGTTCTCCATATTCTCTACCACTATACAAAATGCAGACTACACTCAGTCCAAAGCAGATTACTCTTTATTTACTAAGAGTAAAAGTACTTCTTTCACTGCAGCTCTTATCTATGTTGATGATATTCTGTTGACAGGCAATGATTTCGAAGAAATTCAACATCTCAAGACTAGTTTACTCGAGAAATTCTTTATCAAAGATTTAGGGAATTTGAAATATTTCCTAAGTATTGAATTTTCTAGGTCTAGAAAAGGAACTTTTATGTCTCAAAGGAAGTATGCTCTAGACATTCTTCAAGACACAAGTCTTACGAGAGCATGTCCAGAAAAATTTCCTATGGAGCAAAATCTAAAACTTTCTTCAACCGGAGGAGAAAAGTTGAATGATCCAAGTAAATATAGACAGTTGGTTGGCAGATTAATATATTTAACCGTTACTGGGCCTGACATAATGTATTCAGTTCGTATGCTTAGTCAATTTATGCATGAACCAAGAAAACCACATTGAGAGGCAGCTCTTCGAGTTTTGAGATATATCAAAGGTACTCTTGGTTAAGGACTTCTACTACCTAAAGGTACTCTTGGTTAAGGACTTCTACTACCATCTAAAAATAACTTGAGATTACAAACATATTGCGATTCAGACTGGGGTGGTTGTCGAACTTCCAGACGGTTTATTTCTGGGTTCTGTATTTTCCTTGGAAATTCAATTATTTCTTGGAGGTCTAAAAAAACAAACCAATGTGTCCAAATCATCAACAGAAGCCGAGTATAGAGCTATGGCAAATACTTGTTTAGAGTTAACTTGGTTAAGATACATTCTCCAAGACTTGAAAGTTCCACTGTCCGAACCAGCATTATTATATTGTGAAAATCAAGCAGCATTACACATAGCAGCCAATCCAGTTTTTCACGAACGTACGAAACACATTGAAATAGATTGTCATATAGTTCAAGAAAAATTACAAGCTAGAATCATCAAGCCATATTATGTTTCGACTAAAATGTAATTGGAAGATATTTTCACTAAAGCTTTGGGAAGCCATCAATTTAGAGTATCGAGCTATGGCAAATACTTGTTTAGAGTTAATCGAACTATGGCAAATACTTGTTTAAAGTTAACTTGATTAAGATACATTCTCCAAGACTTGAAAGTTCCACGCAATTTACTTTATTTGAGAATCATTCAAGCTCGATATGATCAATCTTGCTTGTGGAGTGATTCGAATCTCAATCAAGTGTTCCTTCCTTGAGATATTTGATCAACAAGAATCATGCAAGCTACATATGATCGATCTTACTTGCGTTGTGATTTGAATCTCAAACAATGTTCACTTGTGTTGTGATTTGAATCTCAAACAATGTTCTTGCCTTGAGATATTCAATCAACAAGGTAATCCGACTTACTCTTCGCGTAGTGATTTCCACATATCATAATATTTAGAGTATATATTATTTATAGAATATATCTTAGATATTATATCTTAATATTCTTTATTTATGATTTGATTCACTGTATATTTTATTTTATTCTCAATATTTAATTATTTTATATTTTTCTCATTTGTACATATTAGTTTCTAACTTGTATCCTAAGAATATCAATATCAATGAGAATACATGCCTTCCCAATTCTATTTCTATTTCTATTTCTCATTCTTAACATGGCGGGGCAAAGGGTGGAGGAGGAGAAAACGGAGGCGATCCAGGGCAAGGACGTCCGATAACAGGGCCACAAAGATCCAAGTTGTTGGCAAAACTGTCGGGGGGGTAAACGAACCAAGTTGTTCAGCTATGTCGTAAAAATCAAAGTTAGAAACCACGGACTCGTAACAATCATAAAAAAAAACCTGATGGGGGTGAACAAGGAGAAGGAACCGTTATCTGGAACCACGCCCGAGAGATGGTTATTCGATAGATCCCTAGAAAAGAAACGCTATCCTCATAATTTGTACAATATCGATACAATTTGGCGAACTTTTGAAGGCGAGCGAGGTATACTCACAACACTTGAAGGGATGAGATATTCGTCAATGACATAGGAATAGGACCTGATAAGCTGTTGTTGTTCAGCCGGCTATCCATATTAAAACATTCCAAGAACAAACAATGTAAGAACTAAACAAAACAACTCAATCAGAATAGACTAATTAGAACTGCAACTCACAGGAATCGTAGTTTTGACAGCTTGCCTAACGTGTCGGGAATTGGACCCGAAAATCTGTTCAAATAAAGATCTAAGCTCACCAAACTAGTCAGATTTCCCAGATCACTTGGGATTACTCCACTTATGTTGTTACTGTAGAGCTCTCTGTCATCAAGAAAGGGGGAAACAAAGATTTTTAGTCAAATAAAAGATTGATGATGAAAATGGAAAAACTATCGTCGATATTATTATGCGCGATCAATAACACGTCGGATTCGAGCCTTCTAGGACGTTCAGGATATTATGTACAAGAGATTTCGGTTGACCACTATAAATGACACGTTAAGTGTTCTTCATCATAGATAATAGAAAACTTTAGGAAGAAACAGAAGATTATGATCAAGATCCCATGCCTAGGGTTCATAGTCTTAGAATAAATTATATCATCCCCACACATAATCAGTTCAAACAGATTTTCCCTCAACAAAATTCGATATCATTGCTGCCCATTGTACTGATGGAATATATTACAAGACCATGACAGCTTGAAAGAGACCGGACGGTACTTACAGATACTGCAAATTTTTTAGCAAGCCAAGCTGTGGAACAAGTGTGCCCGATAAAGCTGCGTGTCCAAGATCACTGAAGAAACGTAAAACAAGAGCTAGATTATTTGCAGTCCTGTGAATTATTACTTATCATACGCGTCTCTAGACGAGACCATGTATGAGCGAATAGCTTACACTCGTACGACACTATTATCATTGTTGCAAGTAACATGAAACCATGTACAGGGATTGACAAGTGTGGGATCCCAACTCTGCAAGACATTGTTAGGATCCTGCAAGCTGGTTCTTAGGCTATGCAAAGCATCACCTGTTCAAAAATAAAAGTGAACTTATTAACAAAGGGATAAGAACAACATGCCAGCACAAAGAAAAAAGAGTTCCAACAGACTAAACTGTTTTGAAAACACTAATCTTCAAAACTAATCTAATAGCCCCGACCCACCGCTAGCAGATATTGTCCTCTTTGGGCTTTCCCCTCAAGGTTTTTAAAACGTGTCTACTAAGGAGAGGCTTCCACGCCCTTATAAAGAGTGTTTCGTCCTCCTCCCCAACCGATGTGGCATCTCACAATCCACCCCTCTTCGGAGCCCGGCGTCCTCGCTATTGAAGCTCAGCCTTCTCGCTAGCACATCGCCCGATGTCTAGCTCTGATACCATTTGTAATGGTTCAAGCTCACCACTAGCAAATATTGTCGTTTTTGTGCTTTCCCTTTCAGGCTACCCCTCGAGGTTTTTAAAACGCGTCTACTAGGGAGAGGTTTCCACACTCTTATAAAGGGTATTTCGTTCTCCTCCCCAACCGATGCGGGATCTCACAGCTACGAAGGTCTTAGCTGCCACAACGACCATCAAGTCCATAGTTCAAGATTTATAAACAAGTCATTGGAAGTTCCCTGATTTCATCTAACATAAACATTCGAAACAGGGACGAAAGAACACGAATTACATCCCATGACCCAGCAATCAACCATTGATCATTTACAACAAGAAATGAAGGAAAAGAACCAACAGACCCTTTTGTATTATCCATGTTGTGGCCTATAAACTTCGAATTCCCCTCAATGGAGAACCCATTAAGGTGTCTTCCAACTTCTACAATAGATATTAGATTACATATTTCAGTCTTATGCATAAACCTCTAACAAACACCATTGGCAGCTTGAATATCATCCTAATCTTACAACCAAGCCAACAAGGAGACAAAAGCACACAAAATAATGAACTATTTAACCTCCAAGAACAATTCCAGTTGTCCAAATACACAAGAAACAAAAAGGAGATAGAGAAGAACAGAGGCATTTCCACATTCAGAAGTGATTTAACACAAAAGGAACGAATTCAGCAAAGAAGAAAGCAATTCCAAGCAGAACGAACCTTCCATGTTAGCAGAAACAAGCCATAGTGAAGGAAGCAGCAAGATCAAAGAGACAAAACCCAGAGCCAAAACTTTGTAGTGCTCCATCTTGATTAAGTGATCATCAACATCAGATCCAAATGGTAAAACTCACAAACAAACCCAAAAACCACAGAATCACCAAAACCCCAGTTGGGAAACAAAATCTAAACCCCAAAAAACTCCGCGAGAACTCAAAACTCGAAAACCAGTTCAAAAATCCATGAAGAACTTCAACATTTAAGCTCGAACACAGAATCGTGAAGAACAAGCAGCACGCAAAGCCGATCTGGGGAGAGATGAACACAGAAGAGAGGAAAAAAATCAGAAAATTTCAGACATTATTTGTTTTCCCCTTTCACGGGCATAGCTTTGTTCTATCGGGGAAGGGATAATGAAAGAGACCAGAATAGATAAAATAAAAAGGAATTGGGAAAGAAATAGAAATAATGAAAGTTACCGTGCTTTCTTATTGTTTTCTTAACTCAATACTCATGGTTACACAATTCGATTTATAGCCTTGTACACTAACTCATAGTTACACAATTCCAGTATTTATAGGTTTTGGATCAGAAATTCTATAGGCTTATACTGTATCAATAGTAAATTATGGAAATTTAGATAGATTCAAATCTATCTCCTAAAATCTTGGTAATTTGAATACTTTGAATAGTAGTTTAACTCCTTTAAATCATATCTTCATTTTGAATACTTTGAATCATATCTCAACTACTTTGAATCAAATCTCGACACTCCCCTTGATTCAAAGTTGCAGATGTCAAGTACATAACCTTTCTTTTGACAAAACCTTCCTAAGTATGTCTGCTTTAAGCCATAAATTGTTGGAAAGAGGGAGAGTGAAAGAGATAAGAATAGATGAATGGTGCAGTGCTTTATTATTGTCTACTGACGACTAGAAATAGTAAATCATCGAAATCTAGAAAAAATTCAAATCTACTAACAATCTCCTAGTTTGAATATTTGAATCATATATCAACTACTTTGAATCATATCTTCATTTTGAATCATATCTCAACACTCCCCCTTGATTCAAAGTTGCAAATGCCAAGTAATCGTCTGAAGTAGCAAAACTTTTCTTTTGACAAAGCCTTGGTAAGTATGTCTGCTAGCTGTTCATCGGTGTTACAGTATTCCAAGTCAATTTCTTCGTCTGCAACAAGATCACGAATATAGTGATGTCAAAGTTCAATATGTTTTGTTCTACTGTGAAACGCTGGGTTCTTTGTCATAGAAATAGTTGCTTTATTATCACAAAATATCTTTGTTGCCCCTTTTTGCTCTTGTTGAAGATCAGCTAACATTCTTCTTAGCCAAATGGCTTGACACGCTGCTGAAGTTGCTGCAACATATTCTGCTTCTGATGTTGACAACGCCACTGTTGCTTGCTCCTTTGAGCTCCAAGTGATCACTCCTGACCCTAAAGTGAAAACATTGGCTGAAATGCTTCGTCTATCATCTAATGATCCTGCCCAATCACTATCCGTGAATCCATATAGTTTGAAATTAGAGGATTTAGAATACCAAATTTCATACTCCATAGTTCCGGCAATGTAAAGAAGAAAAACGACGCACAAATCGTACTCGAGCTTCGGATCAATGTCCCCAGAAGCAAGGAGTACTCTCGCGTCTTTCAATGAGAACACTGAAAAAACCTAATTCAGTTCTACGTAAGATAGACAAAGTACGAAAACGGCGCACGGACCATACTCGAGCTTTGGATCAATGTCTCCAAAAGCAAGGAGTACGCCCACGTCCTTCAACGAGAACACCAAAAAAACCTAATTCAGCTCCACGTAAGATAGCCAAAGTACGAAAATGGCACACAGACCGTACTCGAGCTTCGGATCAATATCCTCAGAAACAAGGAGTACACTCGCGTCTTTGAATGAGAACACCAGCTCCACGTAAGATAGCCAAAGTACGGTTGAACAGTGGACATGATATATTTGCTCACATTCCGGGCAAAGGTCATAATTCGCAGGAACATTCACTTTTAACCAAAAGCTTAGGAATCACGGCTCTCCACATGGTATGATGTTATCTACTTTGAGCATAAACTCTCGTAGCTTTGCTTTGCTTTTTTCCAAAATGCTAAGATGTAACCTTACTTATAAACTCATGATCATTCCTTAAATTAACCAACGTGGGACTCCCTTCCAACCATACTTAAAATATAATTTTTTAAAATATATATTTTTATTTAAATTTAAATCTTAAGTAGATATTCAAATGTTAGATTAAAATAAGATGTATGTAAATAAAGTATCTTATTATTAAATAATAATGTTTGATGTTATAGAAATGCTATTTAAAATTTAATATAAATAAATAAATAATATTTAGTTGAATGTCTCAATTACCTCCAACAACTTTAATGTATTAATTAACTTTAAATAATTAATTTATTTTATTTAGTCAACTTATTAAAATAATTTTAACGAGAAAGGACGATAGGTAGAGATTTCCACGAGGTGGGGTGGTTTGTCTCGTCCCCAGTTTTACCATCTATTTCATTTCTTATTGTCACGAAACTATTCATTTGTTTTTTGAGAATTTAGTATTCCTTCTAAAAAAAAGTAATTTTCAAATTTTATTTTTAACAATTAATATATTTAATTTTTTTTTTTAAATCTCCATCATTGTTTTTAATTTAAATATTATAATTAAAATTTCAAAATTAACTATTTTATTTTTTAATATAGCAAATATATATATATATATACGTATTAATATAGGTTAAAAATATATTTATATTAAGCGGTGTGACGGTAAATTGGGTGGGTCTTTGTTGCCCGTCCCTAAGAAAAAAATATTTTTCACTCCCTCGCTACTTTTCTAGATCGGGAATTCCCTCCCTTTTTAGAACGAGTCCCATACATAAAATAGACGGGAAGAGAAATCACAAAATTCACGGCATTACAAATTTCAAAACTCACAACATTACATTTTTCGAGTAGCTACACAATTTTAAAAGTTTCACATGGTTGAAATATGCACGAGAAATCTATCTTTTTTTTTCCTCCATATAAGTAATGACCATGAATCGGCCTCCCAGTGCCCCAAATCTCTAACCCCTCGACTTCAACCAAATCCCTCACGAAAACTTCCCTCTACGTTAAGGAACCCCAAGAATTGTGGATATGAAGAACTTTTGCAACAAGTACGGTTAGTTTTAATGGGAAAAGGAAGATCAAGAGCTATGGAAAATAAGATCTTAGGGCAAAATTTGATTATACGTTCATCTGCTTCCCTTGTGTTTTATTATAAGATTTCACATTGGTTGAAGATGAAAACGAAACATTTTTTATAAGGGTGTCGAAACTTCTCTCAAGCAGACACGATTCAAAAACTTTGAGAAAAAACTCTGAAAGGAAAAGTCTAAAAAGTACAATATCTGATAGCTGTGAGCATGTAAAAGTGGATTGCACGATCAAGTGATGCTTCAATGCGATAGGTGTGACAAAGGGTGACTTTGTGCCCGATAAATGGTTTGAGTAAGCGTATGGACTGCCGGGCCGAGAAGAAATGGTTTGGATGAGGGTATAGGAAATTGTGAAGGCTCATTTGGTGAGGTTGAAGTTAAACATGGCAGTGACTTGGACACATCAGTTTATAGCCCTGACTTCTTCGTGGAAATGTCCAGATAGACCATAATCAATTGATGCTAAGCTGTGGGATGGATATCAAAATAGTCCTTGGAATCAATTGGAAGGGTCCATGCTTAGACCCATTCGTCTTAATATTATTAGTGTTACGGTGCTTCAGACTACTAAAAAGAGTAATTAGTAATTTCGGCCTAAACCAATTAGGTAAATAACTTTACTATTGTTTGTGTGGTGTCCTCCATCGGTAGGATAGGAGAATGAAACACCCTTTATAAGGGTGTGGAAACCTCTCCTTAACAGACGCATTTTTAAGTCTTGAGGAGAAGCATGAAAGAGAAAGTCCAAAGAAGACAATATCTACTAGTGGTGGGCCTGGGCCGTTACAAATGATATCAAAGCCAGACACCGGGCGATGTGTCAATGAGGAGGTTGTTCCCCGAAGGGAGGTAGACACGAGGCGGTGTGCCTGTAAGAATGCTGGGCCCTAAAGGGAGGTGGATTTGGTGGGATTCCCACGTGATTGGAGAAGGGAACCAATGTCAGTGAGGATGCTGGGCCCTGAAGGGGATGGATTATGATGTCTTACATCGGTTGGGGAGGAGAACGAAACACCTTTTATAAGGGTGTGGAAACCTCTCCCTAGTAGATACGTTTTAAAGCCATAAGGGAAAGTCCGAAAGAAAAAGCCTAAAGAGGACAATATCGGTTAGCGGTGGGCCTAGGCCATTACAGTTTGGTTGGACGAATTGTATGATGTACGATGTGCATGCCTCGTGGCCCGTGCACGTGTCATGATCATGATTTATATATGTCACATGCATTGGAATACTTCTATTTTATGATTAGGGGCGCGTATCTTACAACATTTATACTCGCCATGATATTATGCAGGTCCTTTCCCTCTGAAGTGTCTAGTGCGTGAGTGTACGCTAGCCCAATGAGCAATGCCCATAAGGTTTGTATACGAGCTCACTTGGTGGGTCCATGTGCCCGTGTGTGGTTTGTGTGTAGTGAAGTAATGCACATCCAATTTTGTTCAGACTTGAAAGTGGAGTCCAAGTCCATGTCATGATATTTTTATGAAATGATAGGTTCCACCATATTCCATGTGATTGCATTTTTCGACCCTAACAAGGGGTTACTTATCGAGTATTTCTTAAAATACTTAAGTCACGTGCTACTCTTATTTTTCAGGTAAAAGTAAGGCACCCTGTATAAATGACGATGTCGCGATGACAGCTATGGAACCTTTATTTATTGATTGATATTCCTTTTTTTGGAGTTATCTTTCTTTCCACTAATGCCTCAGATGTTCCGTTGACTCCCTCTCGCAATGTGGGGTCCGATCACTCATTCCTCGCTTGTTCCCATCCTTGACCAACCAACTCTTTCATTAAGGAGAGCAAGCTTAACTTTCTCATTTCCAAGGTTGGGGCTAATAGTCCCGGTTGGCTTATTAGGTAGGATAGAAGTCTTGGGGGATAACTAGTCAACCAACGATAAGGAAAAAAAATCTAAGAGAAGGCTCTGACACCAAATGATAAGGAATCACTACATGGGGAGTAAGATTCGAATTACTCCACAAGCAAGATCGATCATGTCGAATTATTCTACAAACAAGATCGATCATGTCTAGTTTGAATGATTCTTATTGATCAAATATCTAAAGACAAGAACACTTGTTTAAGATTCGAATCACTCCACAAGCAAGATTGATCATGTTGAGTTTGAATGATTCTCGAATAAAGTAA